ATGCCAAAATGACTAAGCTGGCAGAAAAAACATATCTGTCCATACTTTAACTTCTAAAAATGAACACATATTCTTACTTTTTTAAAATAAAAGTAATGTCAGTAAAATCCTTTATAAATTATCTTTAATCTTCAACCTAGAAAATGAACTTACAATATATAAAAAGTCAACTAAACATTACCAATATTTAATTTCAACAAGAAAAAAAATGCGGTAAGTCATCATCAAAATTAATAATGGAGAATTTTTAACTCAAAAATGCATATTCGTTATCGAAATATAAAGCAGCAAAACAGAAGCATCCTTTTAAATAATCTAAAAGATAATGCACTATAACTATTACGTAAAACAGTGAATTTAGCTGCTTTAGTAAAAAGCATTAAAAGCACAAAAGTAATACAAATTAACTCCAAATGCTAACTCAACTCCTGGAATGCTACTATCTACAATTATTATTCAAATAATTCTAGAAATATTTGTGCATTGCAATCACCCAGCTCAATTCGTTATCAGGAACACGAAATTTATCACCAGAATATTATCAGTTTGACAGTTCTAGTAAAACATAACAAAATTTCATAGAACATTCCTATGATGAAAGTAAATCTCCCAAATTTATATATGTCAATAGCTTTGCAATACAGAGAAAAAAGAAATTGCCTATTTCATATCCTTTTATTCTCGAAACATCTGTTTCCTAAAAATCAGATCTAACCCATTATATCCTCAGTTAATAGGTTTGGCGACAAATAAATGAATTATGGCTAACTTGAAATAAAATTTTAGCAAATTTACATGTCCTATAACATGGGAAACTGCTTAAAAAATTAAGCACTAAAAAAAAAGTGTAAAAACTATCCATTCCAATCGTAAACCAACCAATTCCTTTCGAAAGCTTCCATAAATATATGTGTGGAAGGAGTTCTAATCCAGCTGATGAAGTACCAATCGAAGATTGATTATACCTATTGTACATGTTGTACCAATTAAATGACAAAAATTTGAACAAGAAAATGTAAACATACTGCGATACTTCAGCTTGCAATCATGCATTTTCTTCTTTCTTAATTTATTTTAGCTAAAAATAAGATGAAAAATAAACGTTATGACATTTATTTTTTTTTTGTCTTAAGAAATTTTAAAAATAGAACGAATAAAAGATAGAGAAGTAAAATTTAAAATGAGCTACTAAAAAATTTTTGGAAATCGAAGTGTATCAAAAATAATCATCACGATGAGAAGGACTCAAAGCTGGAAAAAATAAATCTCACGAAAGAATCAAGCATATCATGCAGCTTTTGACATCTTTTAATCAACTCATTATAACATTCTATAACAATAGAAATCTATGCATCCACTTCCAGAGAGTTTCAAATGAAAAAGAAAAAAGACAGAAAAAAAAAAGGATTAGAGAATCAAAGAATGGAAGGAATGAAAAATTAGAAAATCCTTTGATAACAAGAATTTTCGGCAAATTTCAACGGGAATAAAATAAGGGAAAGAGTATCAGAATCAATGACAAATTCAAGCACATGAATTAGTGATATTTGAAAGCTCCATCTAATTCCATTTCTAAAAACGACTGTATGAAAAAAAAAAATTAAAATTTTTTGAGATCTATTTATATTTCAGCAAATTTTAAACTATAATAGTGAATCAAAATAAATAAAAGAATAACGAATATTTATGGTAATATATATAGCGATACCTGTGATTATTCGATCCTGTATATATATATGTTAATGATAATATGATATGACCGGAAGTACTATTAAAAGAATTCTCTGACAAAAAAGAAAAAAACAAATCTCAAGTAAATTAATTCAAAATTTTTATATTAAAAATGATAAAAAGATTTAAAAAATCAATGCATTATCAATGCAATCAGGAACACCAATACATTAACAACAAACCATCACTATTGCCACTACCTGTAAAATATCGCGTGCTGTTTTAAAAATGACAACAAAGTTCATAACGTTTTCTCTATGTGTGTCTTATACATTTTAATTCTTCTACTCTCTGTCATCAATACGTCATTAATGAAAAAATATGATTTGATGTTGAGTTTGTCTTTTCTATATCTATATAATTATACACTATGCATGCAATGTTTATGATGATTTCTTTTTGAAGCAAACCTTCTGAGCTATTCCTGTTATGTATCATATTCATACTTCCTTTCTCTCTTTCAATCAATCAACCAATTTCACCAAAACGAATTAACGTTCGCTTTCACATTTCAAAAAATTTCCAATCGATAGGACATAACAATTGAGATGAATCAGTATTTCGTATCTTTGAGCGATACAGATGAACATGACTGATAAATCGATAATCAAACCATTACACATTTCTACAATTGAAAAATATCTAATGGATAAAAAAAAAAAACAATTTCACGATATTACCTGTCATAGTGCGCTGCATTTCAACGGCAAAGCATTGATCCAGTGAACTGGAAATAAAATACTTCAACGATTGCAATATTAATAAAAAACCATCGAATCATCATTTATTCATCAAATAAAAACTCAGTTAGGTGTAATAGGCGTGGATTACTCATGAAAGCAAATTTGTTACTTCCAACTAGTTTCCATGCTGGGTAATTTCAGTAAAGCTCTGCCATTTTTCCTCCATCCTCAATTATGTTTTGTCATGGATAGCGCTTTATAATTATATTAATTTAAATTTATATATCATTCCGGAAACTTTCTAAATGGACTTTTTGGATTCCCCTCACCCCATACTACTTTATCTCCGTTTATGACCCATCACACATTTCATCATTATAATTCTAATCTTTTCGCTACATAACAACTGCAGGATAAATACCACGATAATATAATGTTTCAAAAAAATTTACGCCTTCTATAAAGCATAACTTAACCTCATATATCTTGCAGAAGATCAAATTACAAACAAAAATTACCCCCTGATTCCTTCCAGTCTTAGGTTAGACTTCAATTAACTCGACAAGGTAAATTTTTTGCTCACATAGTGCTATTTTTTGGCCACAATGCCCCATTAATTTAATGAAAGCAAAACATTTTATATTTTTAGCAAGATAGAAATTTTAGACCAGTAATAACTGCAGCTACCACTTGGCTCTTTATTAATTCACTCTTCAATTAAATTACTAACCTTAGAAGAAGATTTTAAGATTTATGGTAGAAATTGCTTCTTTAAAAAATATAGCATCCTTTACAAATATACATCTTACAATATATACCCTGCAATTTACCAACTATATTTGCATATAATGAAACATGAAATTAATGGCAATTTGTACCAAAAAATATACCAAACAGCAAATTCTAGTCGCAGAAATTTCTTTACTTCGTGAATTATCGCAATAAATTCTTTAAACTTAAAAAAAAATTGACATATAGAAAAATGTAATTGTAATCTAAAAAAATCTAAAATTTCTTCCTAAAAAATAAAATTTATAATTCATAGTGAAATAACACAAAATCAACATTAGAATACACGTAGTTCATTTTGTAAAAACGATAAAAAGATATTTTGTAATGAAAGAAAGAAGTAGGGCATAAGAAAAGTGACTAAATTAGAGAAGGCATGCATATACTTCACATGAGATGTAATGTATATATGGTAACTCAAGTTATCATAAACAGAAGCTCACAAGAAATCATCTTTTGTAGTATTTATACTTACAGAGTCAATTAAATATGTGCAAATTAGCAGATGCTCAATTCGGTACGGCAGTTGTACATTCTAATATTGTGACATTAGAGGTAGGCAAACATTTTAAATCATTAAATTTCCTCAAATGCAATAGAATGAAGAAAGTTTTTTGAAATGAAAAAAGGAATAAAGGTTATTTGAAAACGAATGTTTGATAATAAAGTGCTTGGACTTTTCAATCTCCTGCACCAATTCCTTGAAAAAAAGTATATGAAATAAATATCAAATAAGAACATCTTACAATACCTGAACATTATTTAAAAATAGAAAATGATACATTAAGTTTAACAAAAATCAAACTCTGAACATCCCACAAATATGAAGTGTGACGTGAAATAATGTTGATAATAGTTTCTCCCCATCCAATCATCCTCCTTTTATTTTTTATTGAGCCTACTTTGTTCTCTGCATATGTCTTAGAAAATATGTCACTGATTATAAGGTGTTGGTTAATTAAGACCAAAACTACAATCCACTCTTAGAAAGTCCGGAAACGACGTCCTACAGTTTAACATAACAAAATGGAATTAGGAAAAACCTGTTGGAAAACACATGTTTTTTTCATCTTCTAATTTCCAAAAATTGAAAAACGAATCTATAGATAAAACTGATACGAAAAACATTTGCATATAATAAGCACAATGATAACCAAGGAATAACAATAAGCCGTTATTGATTCCAGGCTGAATTTTAAAATCACAAAACGAATTAAATAGGATGTAAATAAAAATACTAATTATCCCTAAAAGAAAAATCACCTAAATAATTGACAGACACTCGCTTTACATATCCAACAATTAACTGTCGTCATAGTGATGAATACAACCCTAAACTGTATTCATCTTAGAAACATAGCTAATCATTATAAGACACATATATAGAAGTAATTGCAAGGAAGTGTCAAGTACCGTGAAAAAATAATTAGAGTGATCAATGTAGTTTGCAAAAGCTACTAATCTGTAATAGCGTGATATCATCAATAAATATCAAAAAAGGTGATAGCATCAATTATGCTTCTAAAAATTAAGAAAGAATCTGAACAACACACTTAACATTTAAACCAACTATTTAAAAAATATTAAAAGAAAACATTTCCAATCTCTTCCATCTTAGAACTGCATGAAAAAACGAAATTATGTTGAAAGAAATCCCGTATTTCTATTCGGAGTTGTTCAAAATTTTTAAATATCCATACACAGGAAAGGTATCATTGAAATCTACATGTCTAATCATAAAAGAATTTTCAAGAATCATACTTGAAATTAACAGGAAAAATAATCCAAAAAGCTAGTTTAAAAGACTGATTCATCGACCTGCTTGAAAGCAAACTGTATATCATGGGTTGTCATTCCAAGACGGAAACGTCGAGTCATACTACCAGCTCCGGACGCTGCTATTAATAATCGTTCACTGCAATAAAAAAAAATTTATATTTTTGCACAAAGTTTTATATTTTTTAGAATCAGCATATTTTTTACATCATACAAGAACAAAAGGAACCATAGCAGAAAAGAAGAAACGAAGAGAAAAAATATTTTTGATTGTCCACTGACCTACACATTTCCATAGCATTTCGATAAGTAGCACTTGTCGACATAGGATTAATATTTGCAACATTGCATTGCAAGCGATACTGTTTGAAAAGAAGGTGAAACTGGAATTCATCCAAGCCTAAAATCCGAAACTGTTATATAAACATAATCAGCTTTGCTCGATTAATCTTTAGTCAATTAAACTTTGACATTGCCTTATTTTTCTTAATCCAAAACAACTAAAACTGCATCCCTGTGTTTCTTTGATTTATCAATGGATTTTGTAGAATAACTAATAACAAACCTGAACTCAACTGTTCAGCAAGAGCAGCACGAAGAAGCAGAATAGAATGACGTGGTAAAGCTCGTATCAACTCAACCCTAACACTTGTTGATGCTTGGCGAATAGCCTCTTGTACCTAAACAACAATATTTCAAGATTATTAATAACAAAAAAGCATTTTCCTATACAAAAAGCCTAATTCAATAATCACCCATGGAAATGTTTACGTTTTTCATCGTAAGTTGTTTCTGATTAGCACTGATCGCAAGCTCTGTAGCACTTCGAAGGATATCAAGGGCTTTTCGTAGATCACCAGAGATAGCTGCTACCTAAAAATTGCAGCTTGAAGCGAACTGTTGCAGAAGGTAAAACATAAATACCAACTATCTTTTCACAAGTAGTCTAATATTAATTTATATGACTTAGACTTTTATAAAAACGCATTGAAAATAATCATTAGTAAGGAAAAATTATTAAAATGCAAAGTAATAGCTGGAAAATTAATTTAATTATTTCTGTGTATTTGATTAATCTTATTTTAGTCTCCCTTCACAGGTAACGAATTAACAAAAAAACAATCATAAATTTAACAAAAATTATCATCCTTTATTAATGGACTTCAAATTAACATAAAAAGTATTAGCTTACTTTTCGGCTTGCTAATTCAATAGCTTCAGCTTCAACAGCAGTTGAATTACGTAGGCGATCTCGGATGATGTATGCAACTTCATCATGATCGTACGGTTGAAAACAAAGCCTGTTAGCACCCTAGAACAAGAAATTTTGAAGGAAGTAATTTTGAAGTTGCTCAAACCTAGCTTGTTTTACTTACCAATCGACTTGAAACGCGTTGCGAAAAAAGTCTTTCCGGAAGATCGAGAGTGTTCGCAATAGCTATGACACTTACAAGCGATTCTTCATTTGCTGACCAATTGAATATATCGTAAATTATTTCTTGCCTTTTGGTATTTAACAGGTCCAGCTAAAAAAAGATATGTACGTCTTGCTGCCACATCCATGTATTTTCTTCGAAGAATTTCACTTCAATAAACAATTTAAATTTAGATGGTGGAAAGCCAACCATATATAATGTTTACTAATCGATAAACTGAAAAGCCTTAAAAACTAGAGGTTTTTTTCTCTCTTTCTTCCAACATCTATAGTCATCTTTTGCCCCATGGCAAACCTTTCCTTTAATTTCTGAAAAATCTTGCAAGTAACCTTTTCAAATTCTTTATCAAATATTAGCTAGAAGTTAGAGGAAGCAGAAATGCGACAAAGACAGGGTTCATAAAATTTCATTACTTCGAATGTAATTATCAGAAGCAAGAACTATTTACCTCATCAATTAAAACAATAATTGGTAATCGTTTCTTGTCACGATACTGAAAAATGTCGTTCAGTTTCTTTCGTGCTGACCTAAAATTATTTTAAAAAATATCAATTTCTTCATGAAGAAGATGAAAAAGAATGGAAGTTTATTAATACTGCAGTAAATTCAGAATATGGACCCAAAAAATAAGATAGATCAAATTGATGACAATGAAATTAGCTGGTGATCAGACGGAGTACCTTAGTTGGAATCACAGCTATTAAATTCTCGATATATTGCAGCGAACTTCAAAAAGTGAATGAAAAATGAACTTACTTTGGTGCGATTTTCTTCTTTAAACTGAATAAATCCTGGTAAATTTTGACAAATATTTGTTTCGGATCTGATAGCTCCATTGCATTAACCGCAACAAAATTAAATCCAGAAAAATTCTCTGAAGCTTTCAGATGACGCACAGCCTGCAAAATTACAATACCAAAATTTAATTTTAAAATATGAAAAAAAAAAAAACTGTATTTTAATTTTAGACTTTAACTAAGCGACGATATTCATATAATAACATAAAGCACATATAGTATGAAAAATGAAAAGTAATCTTCAAACTGCCATTCAGAATCAAAAGTAAATCATCAGCATTATCATTATTATAATATTGACTATTAAACACCAGCGCGTCCAGATTCTTAAATTAGTCTCAAAAATAATCCATCATTTACTAGACACAAATTGCTTCTTATTAGCATTTGTGTTAAAATTAAAAAAAAAAAAAGAAAAACTTACCTGCAGTACGGTTGCGGTTTTACCAGTACCTGGTACACCACTTACATACATTGCTTGCGAAATCGCATCATTTGTAACGCATCCTTTTATAAATGCACATATCCTATCGAATTCCGCTTCCCTACAAGGCAACCGTTCTGGAATCTCAGAAGTGTGTAAACGACGATAAACTGCCTCTAGAGTTTCGACTCTCTAAAAGTGTAATTTCATTAGATCAGAAATTCAGCTATATAAAATGTAACTTTTCAATGTGGTAAAGGATGGCAATTGATTCGGAAAGTACAGACTGACAAATTAGATCTAAATTAAGTGCAAACATTAAAAAAAAATCTGTCATATTTTATATTCAGCAATCTAAATCACTTTTTACCCAGCTGAAAAAATCAATATCTATGTTAAAAAGTTACTATTGCACACACGTTCGAAATGATACCACATGTGGCATATTGATCGTTCGATTTCTTTTCTGAAATATGAAAGGTCGATTAAATATCAGAATTCCATGACATCAGTACAACGTTAATCTGTAGTCATAATGGAATATTACTGCATGCAATTCAAGTTTGATATGAATAATAATATGCTGATGCATAAAATAAGTTTGGAGTTAAAAATTTTGGTTTTTATGCAAAGCAATGATAAACATCGCTATGAATGTATTCCAGAATTGAATGACAAAAATGACATAAATTTACCTGCAATTAACCGCCTGCTTTTGCATACTGAGTTATGTTGTCGTCTGAAACTTCTACTTTTCATGGATTGTAAGAGATATTTTATCACAATATCACTTTTGGAGTTTTTGGAATGCAACACACCTTATTTTTCGATTCTTTTCAGAATGAATAATCGAATTAGTTCCGGAATGAGAATCTAGTTCAGTGAGATTTTCCAATATTCCAGAAAACTCAAAATCTTTACCACCATCATTATCTTCAGATCCTTGTCCTGAGGAACTGTGCTGCAATTAATCCAATTCTTCAAAGATCAGCAGAAAATGGTTAAGGTTTTTCATAGTTTTTTAATATCATTCATGCTATTTTAAAACTCAAATTGTCCAGCGAATGAATTACCTTATCATTGATGAACTTAGCTCCAGCAAGAACTTTCGTTCGCTTTACTATAATGAACGGTTTCTTACAATGATTCGAATACAGGCCATCAATCCGTTTAAACGGCTTCTCCAGGTTCTCATCAACTTTTTCAGATTTACTTTTCTGAACTTCTCCGTCGACCAAATCAACCTTATCACTCAGCTTAAATGATTTATGCAGTGAGAAACCATCATCAGACGTCCCAATCTTCTGTTTCCAAATTGACGATTTCTTGGATTTGCATATTTTCGAAGCAACCCTTAAGCACTTTCCTTTAGTCATCAAAATAATTAAATATAAATATCACACAAATCTCTAGAGCAAACGGAAGAATCTAGTGCTGATTTTTATTTGTACAAGTTAGGAACTTACGAGACTCTTCTTTTACAAGTTCTTGATACATCTATCACCGATGATGGAAGCGTCGAAGGAAGTGATATTCGTGAGGCATTCAAATCTTTTGATTTGATATTTTCAGAGTCTTCATCGCTATCTTCTTTTTCAAATCCGAACTGAAATGACAAAATACGCTGAAACAATCAAACTACATCTGGAATTAAACTTCTACGAGTCAAACTCACTACCCTTGAATTTCTTCGAAACTCCTACTAATTTAAATGAATCATAGAAAAACCTACGAAAGACGAAATTTTCTATGAAATGAATAATTATGAAAAAGAAGGATAATGTAGATACAAAATAAGATTTATTTACCCTATTTAAATTATCGTCATAATTAAAAACAGGAACCAGCTTAGCTTGCTGTAGCACCAATGATGAACGACTGCGCTTGTTCGGTGGTGGATTCAAGACAAATAGGTCTTCGAAATATCGCCGTCCCATCAATTTCGCTTTTCGTTTCGGCAAAATTCTTTTATTTGAAATATTTTCATTTCCTAAAAAAAGCTACCTGCAAACAGATTTACAACAAAAAGACCAAATAAAACATGAAACTGCATGGCATTAGAATGTCTCCATAACTTTATTTATTTCCCTCTTCGCCCTAAACTACTCAGAAATTTCCAGCCTCTGTTGAATACAGTAACTGATTGACATCTTTGTCTTATTTGCCTGAAACACTCCCATTTAAATTGATGAATCTATTCAGTTCCAAAACATCGAAATTTCACAACTCTGTGAAACTGCAAGATACAAAGATTCAAGTCAAAAGAAAAAAAGGAATGAGTTAGTAATAAAAAATCCATTGAAGAAAATCATGACGTAATATTTATTGAATGCAAGAGAAGCACACAGTTAACCAAAAATTGGAATACCTTCGTCTTTCGCCATCAAGCTATTTGGAATTGCATTTTCAGATTTTTCATCCCATAACACATTCTTATTAGTGAACATTCCTGCAAAAATATTTCTTCATAGCTTTTTTTTAATTAAAAAATTTCATATTTCTGCTTTAAGACTTTACAAATCTGAACATCAACAATGATGTTATTTGCGATAATTTCTCACTAACATTACTTTTCTTTAAATGCACAAACCTAATCTGTGGATCAAACTTCTCGGAATAGAAGTATATTCAGATTGAACGAAATCACGGTACTACGCATAAGCTAAACTTTGCGTCTTTCCTGTTCTGAAAACAAAGCACTGACAATTGTTTCTCCGATACACAATAGTCTTTGTCAACTTCTTATTAATATTTACACAATATACATTTCCTTTAAAATCTTTCTGAATCATTCCGCCATTTGTTAGCAATGGAATATTTTTACTATCTCTAAAAAACTATATCTCATACTTATTATCAATCTTTGCCATTCCTTCCACTACCTAGCATCTTTTTTCTATTAAAATTAACGCATAAATTCAATATCCCTTTAAAAATTTTATAAAAAATCAGTTAACATTCGCACAAGCGACATCACAGTCAAAAGAAACATCACATCTATTCAAAATATTACTGAAAATCTGCAAACTCATTCTTCTTAACATCTCTCAATGTCCTTTTGGTATATCGCGGAGCAGAAAAATCTATGGGATTTTCCCATTCCCCATATTAAATAATATAAATGAGAAAAAAAAGAAGAGACATTCACATTTATTCGCCTCCAACAATTCCCATTTTAGGCAGTAAATAATCTCACGTATTATCCCATCACGTAAAAACTTGCACTTATTAGCTTTTTACTAACAAATTCCATCAAGACTGAATCTTTTCGCATATTACGAACTTAAATAGCCTCACGTACTACTATCCTATCACGTAAAAACTTCCACCTCCCTCCAAAAAAAAGAAAAGAAATTCCCAAAATCAATCCAAATTTAGTGTTAAAAATAGCTCACGTCCGTAGAATATGGCTCGGCCTATTCTTACTCTGAAATTTCTCGGCCCTTTCTCTGGTATATCGCGGAGAGGCGGTGACTGTCAACTATAACTGTCAATTATTTCACATAATTGTCAACTATTTCATATTACCCTGAATATAGTCAATTAATTCCTAAATATTTTACCTGCACAATGTTTATAATTTAATAATTTGACTGTAAACCTAGGGCCTCATTGGCTCAGGGGCAGAGCGTCTGTCTAGTAAACAGAAGGTCGCTGGTTCGATTCCAGCATGAGGCATGGCATCTCTATCGTAAGGTGTGGTGCGCACGTTTTTCACGCCGTCGTTTTCTACATATCTCTGAGCAGATAACAAATAAATTTCCACTCTGTCTTTGAAATCTGAATTTTCTACTGTTTTTAAAATATTTTCCACATTCTTTCAGTTTTTTTTTTTTTTTTCAATGGAATAAAATAGGAATGAACAAAAATTAATTAATTGTCATAACTCTTTTGTTGATAGTATTATTAAAATAGTCTTAAGTATAAGCCAGCAAATATAAAATTTAATTTGATTAATACAAATTTACACTATTTATTTTAGTTTAAATTTATTATCATTCATTACTAATTTTTATTTATTTAATTCATCATTACTCTTCCTTTGTCCATGCATTGTACTTTCTACTTTTGTCGATATCTCTCTGTTTATTCCTTAAAGTGATATAACTTTTTCATTTCAGTATAATTTGAGAAATGTTTTTTTTTTCTTTTTTAAATTCAAATTATTAAGTTAAAGTATAGGAATTTACATTGATGTGTAATATTAGGAAACTTTCTCATCTACAATATATCTTTAAATAACGACTGATATTAAGTTTAATCAATGTTTTTTATTGAATTAAAAAATTTAATGTTTCCAAGTGTTATGACAAAGAAGGAAAGAAATCAAAAACCTACTCTGTAAATACTCTGTAAAATATACTATCAGTATAAAATGAAAGACTTTTAAAAAATGAATTTTTTTTTTTGTGGAGAAATAAGGAAATTGTACCGTGGCTGCGATTACGTTGAAATAAACAACGACGTATATAGAAAAATATTTTTAGTAATAACTAAATCTGAAAAAGAAATTTTGTACAAATATTGATCATCTAGTCATTGCTCAAATTCTTACGGTATTTTGTTAGCATTGAATACGTTACTGTGGAAAAATGCAAAATAATAAAAGCAACAAATTGATATTAAAGTAATAATGACAGGTACTGAAATAAAAGAATTTAGAAGTACGTTAAGTGCATTAAATTACGTATGTTAACCTTTAGAATCGATTAATCATGAATAATAGTACATCTTTTATAAGTTTCAAATTTATCATTAAAAAAATTATAACGTATATATATAATCAAATAAAAAATTAAAAAAAAAAAAAAACAGGACTAGAAATTAAAACTTTCTTCCGAAATTTTTCTAGAATAATTATGGACGAACTATGCAGAGTGCATAAATAAAAATGGAAGTTAAATACTTATTTCGGCAAACCATGGGCACAACTATGGGCAAATTTTAATGCTAAGCACAATTGCAGGTAACTTAGAAAACAAAGTTTTTTTGTTGTTTTGCTTTATCAAATTTTATAAAAAAAAAATGAATAAATTCTATCGATGAATGAAATGACAAATTGAAAATTCTTAAAAGAAATTGAAAGAATGAAGGATTTTTTATATTTAATAGCAATTTATCTCTGCAAAAATATGCAATTTCCAAAATTTATAAAAACACTTATATTTGATGCTACTGTAATATTTTAGAAAATTTATGGATTAAACTCAAGAAAATAACAGTTTGCAAATTTTCAAATATATAAAATATAACATCGCATCGTAAAAAAAAAAGATCATTAATAAAATGTAAAAGAAAAAGAGAACACAAACAGATTTCAAAAAATTTACAAAAATTATTTGAAAAAAAAAAGAGCAGAAACAATTAGTTTTAATTAATTCGATACCTGATCACAAGAAAATGTACTCAACCTGTAGTTATAATTTGAAAAATAAATGTTTAATTGCAAATGTAGGAGCAATGAAAAAAGAAATAATTAAGGGAAAGAAATAAATATGAAAGTATGTTCGTTAATTGTAGCCTTTGTTATAAATGTATTATTTTTGACTTTTTGTTAAAAATTGAATATCAAAGTTATATGTTTTTCGTTTTCATTTCTGATTTATTTCTTTGTAAAATAAAAATTATTTATCATTGATTGCATGTAGTACTTCAAATAAATGTAATTGAATTGAATTGAAATTTATTTTATTACACAAACAATTTTACACGAAATTTAGCATTTTTTTTTCTTTCATTTTAACATATTTTGGTGAAAATTTCAAAAATTTTAATTTTTTGAAAATATTATGGCATGATTGCACAATTAAAAATGAAAATGTATTATTGGGAAATGTTAAATTCATCATAGATAATGTTGAACAATTTCATTATGAAAGGCATACAAGTGATAAAAAAGAGATTGATAAAAAGTTTATCATTGCTATTACAAGATATTGTCATTCATAAAGGGAAGGCACTGATAAAGCTCAGTTTAAATTTTCGTAATCGAAAAGCAAATATCATCTTCTTGTTTTTTTCATTCTTAGCTTAATTTAAGCCAAAAAAAAAGAAAAAAAAAGAGTTGAAGAAAATATTGAAAATATTGAGGAAATATTGCTACAAACAAGTAAATGAAGTTTAAAAAATTTAAGGACAGAATGAAAATTCCGTGAAGTCCAATTTTGACGGACCAGGAAATCGTTGGGTGGTTTGTACAGCACCGGACATTAAAGGCGGTAATTGTACACCAGATGAAACAGCAAGTGATAGAGTTTCTTGTCCAATTCGTTGAAATCGGGTGAACATTTCGATCTAAAAATTTAATTATTAGTGAAATAATGAAAATAAAGTAGCAATGTAAGTCGAAAGAGTCAAAAATAATTGACTTTGAATTGTTGTGGTTAGTTAAAATGAATAAAAATCGCTAATGCCTGAAAAATCTGAGTAATAACTTTTAATGGTTCTCAATTTAAATTTGAGAAATGTATGGAAACATGGAATGAATTTGCATATGGATTGAATTTATGACAAATAGGAATGATATTCAAAGTAATGAAATTTTGAAAAGCATCAAGAAGAACCCAAACTAACTTTTTTGTGAAGCGAAAAGAAAAAGGCTTAATTGTCAAATGTGAACAATTGCATGCATTCTGTTCGGTATTTAAACTTTATTTCTGGGAAAGAAATGAAAAATGGATTTCTGTGCGACATTTGCGCCTTTTAATATATTTTATGAGAATACTTGAGAAGAAGCTGACTTGGGCAATGATTGTTTGTAGCTTTTTGGTGTGTGGTGGTGACGAATTGCAACAGTGATCTTTCAATGCACTTGTGATGGTACCACGTAATTTATCAACCGCTGCATCTGAGCTAAGTAACTCAGCACCACATTCTAGAATTTTGAACTTTGAAACTATGAAAGTCAAATTAACAATGAAATAAAAAGTCCAATTTGAATAACTAATAAAGTACACATCCAATAACAATCAGTTTAATGTTTTATTGTCATTGTATTTTTTATTCAAACAAAACATTTGCATAGGAAATTAATTATTAATTTGATAATTGTTGTAAAAATGATTATTAACCTTTTGTATTGAGAAATTGTAAAGCAAGTAAAGCTGAAAAAGATGGTGGATCCCATTGTATTAGATGTTGAAATCGTTTTGCTTCTTCTTGTATTAAAGTAAAAAGTAATTTCAACGGTTGTGGTACTGCTGCTATATCCACTTCAATTTGTTCCATATGCAAGCTATTACCTTCAGTCCATCTGAAATTTTAACAGAATTTAAAAAAAAAATTTTCCAAATATTACTGAAATTTGAAACATATATGATAAGCTACTTAAATAATAAATAAATATGATAGAGATAGTAGTTAAATGATAAATGAAAAAAGATCGATGAGAAAAATTATGAATTGAGAGCAATGAAATTAAAAAATCATTTGAACACTTATTAAAAAGTATACAATTATTTATGGTTTTTTTTTTCCTTCTTCTTTTTCTTTTCATTTTTTTTTTTATTCCATTCTGTTAAAAAAATTAAATTTTCATTATTTTTTTCTCTTATAAATTTTATTCAATTATTTATAACTTCTTGGTAATGATAAATGAAAACAATAGAAATTTAATTAAATTAATTTGATAAAAGATAACAATTTAACAATAAATGACCCATAGCAAAGTTTTAGTGCCAATAATGCAAAAAAATTGCATTCAATTAATTTAGTAATATCATTTTGAGAGATCTCCGTTGAATTTGGTATTTTTTCCACGAAAAGTAGCATAAAACGAAATTCTTCATCCATTGCTGACAATAATTGCTCTGTGCCACCATTCTAAAATAATAATTTGAATGAAATTGGTAAAGAAATATTTCAAAATGCATTTCATTTCATTGATTTACAAATTACTCATTGCATGACTCATCATTAAAATTCACTAAACGATACGATATGACCACGTGAAAGACAAACATATAACGTTGGTGTAGGAATTGTTTTCGATTCCACATATGCTTTATTGATAAGTGTTAGCAGTGGTAGCGGTGGACTGGGTGGGTCGTCTGAATGTTGCACTTTTGTTTTTGACGGTAAACGACCTCGTCGCCCCGATAAGCTACCGTATCGAACCACTGCAGGAAAAAAAAAGGATGAAAAAATGATTGCAATAATTTGAAGATGAGAGAAATAATTCAGATATAACTGATATGAAATTGCTTATCAATCTTTTGCTACATTCTTCACTGTTATCACTATTTATCACTAATAATATAATTCCTAGTGTCATTTGAGAAAAAAGAAAAAAAAAACAAGAGAATTAAAGTTTAAATAATTTTTATCAAATTATGTTTTATATCAAATCTGATTGTACCTCAATATTTTAAATGATAATACTGATAACTGTATGCAGATATTTGACTTAATTAATAGAAATAATAATTTTATTTACCTTCTTTAACCATACCAACTGCAATGCATTTCTGAAAACGACAGTATTGGCATCGACTACGAAATCGCTTATCAATGGTACAATTTTTATTGCCTGTACATACATATTGTGCTTTTTTTTGAACTGTTCGCTAGAAAACTTTAGGTAAATTACAATTGTTAAAATTACAAATTAATTAAATTAAAAAAAAAAAAGGAGCTTAGTTCGATGTTGCAATGATTTGTTGAAAGATATTATCCACTCTAATCTAATGATTATAAATTACTGCTATCAATTGTGGAAGGATTAAGCTATCATAACAATTTAATTAGACTACAGATCATCCCATAGCTTATAGTGGATAATGATACCACAGTAGTCGCCAAATATGATCTCAATTTCTGCTTAGCTGATCTGTCGAAATACCTTGAAAAACCCTTTACATCCTTCACAGGTACGAGCTCCATAATGTTGACATACAGCACGATCGTTGCAAACAGCGCAAAGTTTATCGGATGATAATGATTCATTGACAGCAGGAATAGCTTGCAAACTCGATGGACCATTTCTGAATATATCGTTTACAGTACTCAAAATTTGCATTTAATTTTAGGAGGATAGTAATTATTGATTTGTAATAATAAAAGATGGCAGAAATGATCAGAAATCAATGATAGAACTCTAAATATTATGCATTACCATCTTATTATTATTTCTATAGTTTTTGCATCGATTTATACATCAATTAATTTTATAAAATAAGCTTTGAACTTGAAGACACCTTAAGGATTGCTGATTAACTCGATGATTTTCGGAAGCTATCGCTGTTGGCACTACAGTAGCATATGGAAATTGAAATGCAGTCGTTGACTGGTCTAAAAATTGATTGAAATTTGACTCTGTAATTTGATGAAATGTTTTTGATTGATTTATTTTTTCTTATTTCAAATGAAAATAGTCTTGTATGAGACAATACATCTTTAAAACAGTAACAAACCAATTCGTTGATGAGCTGGCGGTGGTTGTGAATGTGTTGGATCAACAAAAGATGGTGTAGGAAATCCCGGAGTTGCAAATGATGATTGCATTAGTTCCGGTTGTTGACTAGTTATTGATGGTCGAGGAAATTCGAATCTAAAATTTAATTGAACTTTGAAATTAATGCAATAAAATTAGTAATATAGCAGTGAAGGTAAAAATTTTTACAAATATAAAAGAACGAAAGAATTAATAGATGGAAAATAAGAAATTTGTTAGTTTTTCTTTACAAATAACTCAAAAACTAATTAATATGTGTAATTGATGTGAATAATTTCTACTTTCATTCAAATTAAACATTGAAATATTAACTAATTAACTAATTGATTGATTGATTTATTGATTAATTGATCACATTCTTTATTCAAAAATCATACCTATCAATCAGTGTAGGATCAAATGATATTTTCACAAAATTGTGGAAACTGTTGAAAACGATGTATGCTAACTACCGTATACAACAAGCAAACCTTTGTTATGTATGCGTGTGTGTCTGTCTGTGTCTGTGTGTGTGTGTGTGTGTGTGTGTCATCGAGAATGGCATAGCAATGTAAGCTAAGCTACTGAACAGTTGCGATGTAATGGCGGTAGTTGTCGACTAGCTTTGATAATAAAAATAGAGGTTACATGAGGTCAAGAGAGGGTAGAGTTCGGTCATTAAGAGGTCACACATTCAGCTTCTCTCTCATTACTGACTTCCATCTGCACTATGTATCATCTTTAAGTCTTTTAGATCATTGAATTTTTTTTTTTGTCTTCAAAAGTAAAAAACTAATAGCTTAGTAGTAAGCTTATTTTTGATCAAAATGCTAAGAATACTTACCTCTTTCATTTTTTTTTTTTTAAAAAGTAGTTTACTAGAAATTATACTGCAAAGATCATTTATACTATTATATATATTTGAAGTTATAAAAGAATTATTTACTATTATTTTTTTGAAAAATTAAATATTACATTCAGAAATGATAAAATAAAAAATGTAAGGAATATTTCTCAATTCATCATCTTTCAGAAAATATTTATAAAATCAATTTTAATTATAAATGCTAGAATAATTAGTAATTAATTGATGTATAGTTTAATATTTAGAAACATTACATCACTACCTTATTGTTTTAAATTTTCTTTCTCATTTTTATTTTTATTTTTTTTAATCCAATAAGTTATTTTAATGTGACAATCAAACTATCATCAAAATATCACTCAGTTATCATATCTTAATTAACCATCAATATTTCAATAATACTACATTATTATATTTTATTTTTTAACAGTTAAATTTCATCTATTAATCTATTTAAATAATTAGTGGTAGTGAACCAAATTTCACTATTCAAACTGAATTTTTCATCGCCATTTTTTCTTTTTTTTTTTTTTAATGAAATTATTAAAAATATCATAGAAAAAAGAAATATACCATAATTTTATATTATTTGTTAATTGTTTAGAATACTAAAAAATGAAAAAAATTACTGGTTGAATGGAAAAAATAAAATATTTCTCATTATTTTATCGCTTGTATGACACAACAATTAAGTTTCTTTTATAAATCCATTAAAGTAATATTAATTAATCAATTTTATAAACTGATTAATTTAACGATGTTTTGAATTTATACTGAACCTTAAAATGTTTAAAAAACTCAAATAAATACAATCAATTGTGGTATTGTTTTTTTTTTTTAATAAAATTAAAAAGGTATTTGATTGTTGCAAACAGTTCAAACTGTACTTTTTAGATAATTTGATAAGTATACTTTAAGTTTAAGCTAGAAATTTTAAAACTTTGAAATTTATAAAAATATTTAGAGAAGAGAAAGCAATAGAAAATTTTCTAAATCAAAGTACTTTTCTGAAATAATTTTAGAAAGAAATCTAAGCGAAATCAAATCCTTTCCTGAAATATTTCCTGAAAAGAGAAAGAGAAAGAGAAAGAAAAAAGGACTTAAAGAGAAGATTTGATGATAAGAATAGATGAATATGCAATCGAGGCTAACAATTCACAGTTCTATTTTATTCTCTTTTTCAATAAATTGTATTCATACTAATTTTCGTATTCTTTTTCTCTTTAAATAAATATTTCTAAAAGTTTGATAAGCTAACAGAGAAAATGAAAAATAAACGTTCAATATTTATAATATAATCTATAATACCTTACCATATTTCAGTTGCATAGATATTACTAAACTGGCGCAATTTGCAATTGAGATTTGCGCATCGTTGAAAGTTTAATGCTGTCTTTTAATATCTTAATTTTTCATTACTTTTCAATATTAATTTTAACTATTTTTTTCCTAATTAAGCGATTTAAATGATTTTTTTTTTGGAGATATTCATGAATAATACTGGTAATCAGTGAAATGTTTAGTTTAAGCTTACAATTTTAATTTGAAAATTTTTAAAAGAAGATGAAAGTTCTTTAAAGATGAATACAGATAGCATGTTGACCACAGAAATCTGAGCATTTGCCAGTGTACAATCGTTTAGTATTTGAAAAAAATTAAATGAGACTTTTTTTAATAATAAATATATATTTCATTGGCTAACCGATAATAAAAATTTTGAAATGTCTTCTAAATAATTTTGCAATTTTTCTAAACAATTATATTCCTTACAAAATGTATCATTGATACCATCTCAATAGACCAAATAGATGAAATTCCAGAAGTTGGAATTGCTACCATTTAATTTCTGAAGTAAAAATTTCGGTAACCTAAAGAAGATATTTCATCTAGAGAGTATTGCTTAGCAAATTAATGTAAATCGAGAATTTTACTTGTTTAGGAAATTAATCGAGACTTAACCGAGAATTTTATCTTTCTTCTTCAGATAGTGCTGATTAGCAAAAATATTAATTTATGAAGTTTTGTTGTACTTGCAATTTCATTCAGCTCAAAAATCTTTTGCAAAGTAAATATTTGCATAACTAACTGTTAGGTTGTAAGAAAAAAGAAATTTCTAAGAGTTTTAGCTAACATTCTGAAAAAGAGGGTCGAACTTCCTTATTTCGCATTAGCAAAAAAAAAAAAAAAAGAAAATTTTGATTATCACATTTATCAGTTCAATTAATGCATACAATCAAATTTATAATAATTTGAAATTAATGTCCATAAACTAATTAAACATGCTAATATGCTTGTATATATCATAGAAATTTCATTAAATATTCAGATTATAATGAAAAATTTTCAGTTAGCAAACAGAAAAGCATTTAAAATTTTAACAAATAATATTTAAGCCAATTTTTTTTTTTATTCCGTACTTAAAGTAATTTAACAAAAGAAAAAAGGCGAACCCTGAAAAGAAACTGTGCATTGGATGCTGATATGCGGTAGTACCAGCGGATGGTACAAAGAAATCTCGATAAGTGGCTGTAGAAACAGCTGAAGTACTGATACTAGTTGACGGTTGCGGCTGCAGCGGAATGCCCTCACTTTTTACGCCAGGAATATATTTTGGATCCATGGCGGATGTGCCGCTAAGACGTGAAATGTTCGGCGTTGAACACTCCTTAAAAAAATAAAAAAAACACGTGCGTTTGAGAAATATTTAGTACCAAATTTAGGATTTAATTCATTTTTTTTTTTTGAAAATTATTATATTTTATGTTTTTCTATTTCTCTGTTTTACATTTTTTAAAGTCAGAGTTTTTTTTTTTTTCTATATCAAAAATAGCAACAAAAAATTTAATTATTGGTAAAATTTCCGAGTTGTTCAAATTTAACTACTAATAAGATGCTAAAAATTTGTTCGCTGACAAGCTGTTGTTGCTTCAGTCATTTAATAGAAATAGAATAATCATACAAAATAATGAAATCTCATTTTGCAAGGAAGAAATATATTTTGTGACACTTCTAACTTATTATTTATTATGCTAAAGTTAAAATCTGTTAAATTAAAACTAACTTATTGAGGTAAATAACTGTTGGTTAATTAAAAATTTAATTAAAAGGTTATCACTATTAAATACACTCGAATTTATCATTTGAATAAATAATTTGCTGCTTGTTTCATCTATTAGATTTTTATTAATATTTCTTATGATTATGATAAATAATTTACCTAGCAGATGAATGATAATTTAAAAAACTGAAATCACTGATTTCTTTCGGTAGGCCAATATTAAAATGTTTAAAATTGCTAAGAGAGAATGTATTACCTTAGCTAATCAGGCATACTTAATGATTCTCTTTTTCTTGAAAAAAAAAAGTTAGATGAGAAAAAAAAAAATAAATAATAATGTCAATTAACAACCATTGTTACGTAAGTTATAATTATAAGCTCGAATTGAAAAACATACTTTATAATCACAAATCAGCAAATTTTTCACTTTCATTTTTCTAATCTGAGAGTAATTCTTTCATTTGTTATTTATTTTGTTTCTTTCTTTAAATTTGACCCACTAAGAATTATTTAAATATTAGCCAAAAATAACACAAGAAATTATAAAAGTATGAAAAATTAAGATTTTAAAAAAGAAAAAATATTCATTTTTTAATAACATAATGAGCAGAAATAATTTTGTCAACACAGAATTTTTCTCATTAGTATTCGAGCATTGATTAACTTTTCAAATGAACGACAAAAAGTTAATTCACACTTCAGTTTTGACTAAAATTATTTTGCAAGCAATGAGCTATAAATTGCTTGAAAATTCTTAAAATAAAATTTAAAACAAAACGAGTAAAAGTTAAGTAAAGGCTTGAATCAAATCAAGATTCACTTGTTATTTGTCTCATATTCTTCTCTAACTTATTGTCCTAGGACATATATCGATGAAATGGCCACAAAAAGAAAAAGCTGTGGATTTTGTTGGAATGTAAGAACATTTAATCAATGATCACATATATCGATTGATTAGATTGATCAAAATTAATTGATCATAACTATCATACGATACTAATGTCAATTGGCTGTACAACTTGTCAATTTCCAAAGAAAAAAACTAACCTAACTTATCGATCGTAAATTATCTTTTCTTTAAAAATTTTCGAACTAGCTGACATAATGTTTTACTTCAAAGACATTTGCGCAGCAATTATGGCAGTATGTTTACTAATTTCTTTTCTATGAGTTATGCAAATGTGAAAATTTTGTGTTTTAAAAAATTTCTGTTTATTCAAATTTTGGAAGCTTTGAAAGATAAGCAATTAAATAAGAGTTTAGTGAATTCCTGCAAAGTTAAAATATGACAGATCTAAACAATTTAGAATTTATAATGTTTTAAAGTATAAATTTTTCTGAACATTGCTATAATCTTACATAAAATTGTGAATAAATCAATAAAAATGTAATATTTCAAATATTTAATTTGTGTACTACTTTAGCTTATTTTTTTGAAATTTAGACAAACGGATTAAATAATAATAAAAAACTAACAAATACTTAAAATGTCTAAATTGAATTGATAACTTTTAATGTGAGAAAACAGATTAATATCAGCTATAATTTGCTTTGAAATTAAATATTAATCATTTGAAATGTTAATTTATACACTAAAATATGTTTACAGATAAATTCAGACTAAATAAAATAATAAAAAGCATAAACATTAAAAAAAAAAGAAAAATTAAATTGAAATTTCTGTTACACATCCTGAAGAATTATTCATTTATACTTTAATATATCAGTCAGTAAAGGTAAGCAAAAAAAAAAAAATAATAAAATGAGAAGGAAAAAAAAGGAAGTAAAAGTGACGATGAGAAATTGAAAAGAATAAATGAAAATGATGTGACAATCAATTTAGAAACAAGCTGAATAGTTCAAGAAATAGCTATCATAGATCAGTTATCATTGAGAAAGTGCATGCATGCATATTGCATGCGCATAATAAAATATGCAGGATGATATTCATGCAAAATTTAAAAGAATTAGAAAGAGGACAATAAATTTGTGACAATAATTTGAGTAAAACAAATTAACTTTTAAATCTTAATGAAAATGATAACAAATAATATTTGTGTTATTTTTTCTCAGATTTATGCTATTTTTCCATTCAAAATATTTAATCACATATATAAACTACGTGTGTATAAAGACGTATTGAAACGTGGAATGTATTCAAACGTGGAATGTATTCAAACGTGAAATGTTTCAAACGTATTCAAACGTTAATATGTTGTATGAAATTCCATTTTGATCAGAAAAACTGTATTATTGTTTAAAGCTTCTTAACAAAACTCTTCTTAACAAAACTTAAGAAAAAAAAGTTCATTATGCATTGATCAATTGACAAAATCATTTTAGTAATTTATAATTATTTAGCCTAAAAAAGATTCACGTACGTGAGTGAGCAAAAAAATATAGAATAATTTAAGATTATGAGCAATTATTAGCATATTTATCAATAAATGATTACATTTCTGATAAAATCAAATTTACTATTAATTTTTACATCAATAATTTCACCAAATATAATATAATTTAATTGCAAATACTACAAGTTATCATACCATTTCTTTCTTTTTCATTTATAATCTATTAATTTATCATAAATTATAATTTGTCAAATAAAAATAATTTAATAGAATTAAACATATTTTTCATATGTAAATTTAAAATTAAATTAAAGATAAAAGAGAGAGAGAGAGCGAGAGAGAGAAAGGGAGAGAGGGAAAGAGAGAAAAAACAAACAAACAAATAAAAAAATTTTTCAATACTATGACCCAACCGGTCATTACAGACATTCTTTGGAACATTTTACCAAAAATACAGGTGTGAATAGTGTTTATAACTAATTCGTTTTGCTCTAACTGCTTTTCCCCTCCTACCACAATTAGCATTGATGCTAACAGCGCCACCCTTTCCTTCATTCAAAACATCAATTAATAGAAGCTAACAAATTATTGTTTCCTTCTCCTCTTCAGTCATCACATCACACTTTCCTTCCTTCCTTCCTTCCTTCTATTCCATATATCACTTTTCAATATTCTCATTTCTCACTGTTTCATTACAAACTTTGCCATATATGTTCAATTTTACTAAATATTCCTAATATCAGCTTAATTCTAAGAAAACAAAAAATTAAACTTTTAATTAATTCTTTCAAATATTAATTGTTGAAATTAATTTTTTTTTTTTTTTTTTTGAATTAAAAATATATTTAAATGAATATAATTTACTTCGTTTCTTTTTTTTTCTCTACTTTTTCTTATTTTTTTAAAAAATAATTTTGTTACAATAAATGGAAATTTGCAAATTTCATAAAATGTACCAAACGAAATAATCAATAATTAATTTTATCAGCAAACTATGATAAAATGAAAAGAAAAAAGAAATTTCCATAACAATTGGCGCATTTATCAGTACATTTAATTTAATACAGATAGATAGATGCTAACATATAATTGAAATCGAAACTATGTCATTAAAATTTACAATGATTTAAATAATTTCAAATAAAGTTCTACGAGTTGAATTAATAGTTTACGTACGAGAATTACACGTCTAATTATTTCTATATGTGAAAAAAAAAAAGAAAACTTTCAAGTCTTTGTTATGACAGGTATTTTGACTGTTTCTTCGTAATTAATTTTTTTTTTTTTTGTTTTTCTTTAAAAGTCAAAAACTTTGCTCTTCTCTGTCAGATCAAAGAGTTTTGAAAAAATCACCGACTGAAACAAAAAATGAAAAAAAAAGTCTACGTATTTCTAAACTTTTTGTATAAATATCGTTATTTCATTTACAAATGACAAATAACAAAAAATCAGCTTTGTAATTAAACACTTTGTGGAAAGAAAATAATTATATTTGAATTCCGCTCTTAAACTTTCAATGTTTTTTTTTTTTTTTTTTGTTTTTAATAAATTAAAATAATAAATGAAAGTTTTTTAAAAAAATCTATTAAAATTAAATGTAAATAGTTTGAAGAGTAATATTTTGGTCTAATTTATAAATTATCTTAATTAGAACTGTGCTAACAAATTTTGCAGAAATGTGAAAAAAATGACTTATGTACAGAATATTTTCAAAAAATCAAAAAAGGAAAGAAAAATTATTTTAAAATTTTGTGTTGTAAAAAAAGAGCTCAGAATTTGAATCGGTGAAAAGCAGTTATCTTCCGGTAATTTGTTCTGAAGATGAATGAAAAATGACATTTATGCACTGATAACAGAAAATTTTGAGTTGATAGAATTGATAAAGCATAATCAGTCTTTTTGAAAGCTAAAGCTAAATTTAATTTACTAACATATTTAAATCAAAAATTTTCCAATTAAATTAAGCCATCCTGTAAATTGAATATAACATTTGTAGAATTTTTATTTTCGGCTAATTTTCACTGATTTAAATGAAGGACAGAGAGGGAAAAAGAGAGAGAGAGAGAGAGGAGGACAAATACAGAAGTTTAAAATGCTTAAGATATTCTGTCTAAGAAAAAAGTTCCGTTAGCTTAGCTAATTGAAATAAATAAAATAGGTTTCATCTCCATAACTGGAAATAATTATTTTTAACTGAAAAACGGAAACGGTATGTAAAAGTAACATTTCACTGCAACAATTGTATTTATTGCATGCAAAAAAAAAAAAAAAAATTTGCAAGTTTGTGCAAGCACTTAAAACAGAGTAAAATTTAATTTCGATGGAAGGAATATTACTTAAAAATCAAATTCATTTAAAAAGATTGCAAGTCAAAAACGGAAAAAAAAGAAAGGGAAAAGATAAACCGAACTGATATATTAAAATTAAATAAGCATTACATCCTGAATTTTCAGGAAAAAATAATTCTGCTTGGTATAGCGATGAAATGATTTACGTACAAATAAATGTATAAATCAGGAAAATGATTTTTTTTTTATCAGCCATATAATTTTATTTATTATTAAAAATTTTTTTTTTTCTGAATCATAAAAAGTTCATTTTTGTACTGTTTAAAATTAGAAATTGTTAGCATAGATGAAATAAATAATGAAAAATTCAGCTACAGTGAACCATTTTGAAAGTTTTGAATTACTATTTTGATGCAATTGTTTAATTACATAAAGCAAAAACAATTAAGGTATCATCACTGATCGTTGCTAATGTTCAAAATTTGTTTCAAATAAAATTCAATGTGAATAAATTTTAAATCAAATATTATTGATCTATCGGTATATAGTTACAGAGAAATTTTGAACTATCGCTCTGATAATTTTTCATTCTTAATCATTTCAATCATTTCATAAAAATAGAAATTAATCAATAAACTCTATTTCTTATTATTTCTATAATTTGTGGTTGAAATATTTACGCGTTTAATCTTGAAAATATATATATATGGACAAAAGGTAATAAATTAAAAAGCAAAAGATAATAATTAAATTTTCGAATTTTTTTTTAAAATTTAATCAGCAAAATGAAG